TGCAATAATTGGCTGTTGATTGCTGGTGTTGACTTCTTGATGTGTAGTGCCTCGCAAACGTCAAGCCGCCTGCTATCGCTGTATCTATCGATGATTTCTGTGTTGTTTACTAGGATTTCTCTGGCGATGGTTTGGTTGTGGGAAGAGATTATATGTTCCTTAATGGAGCCCTGTTGCTTATGCATCGTTAAACGCCTAGAAAGAGATGTTGTTGTCTTGCCTATATACTGGGTTTTTTGGAGCTTACAGTCCCCAAGAGGGCATTTGAAGGCATAGACGACGTTAGTCTCTTTTAAAGCGTTCTGTTTTGTGTCTGGAGAGTTTCTCATGAGTAGGCTGGCCGTTTTTCTGGTTTTATAGTAAATCGTCAGTTGTATCCTCTGATTTTTGTCTGTAGGGATAACGTTTCTATTAACAATATCTTTCAGGACCCTTTCCTCCGTTTTATGAGCTGTGGAAAAGAAGTTCCTGTAAAATAGTCTAATAGGGGGTATAGGTGTTGTGTTAGTTGTCTCTTCAGAGGTTGCATGGCTTTTCACTTTCCTTCTTATGATGTCTTCGACGAAACCATTGGAGAAGCCGTTATTGACTAGGACCTGCCTTACCCTACAGAGTTCTTCGTCGACTTGCTTCCATTCTGAGCTGTGGCTGAGAGCACGGTCGACATATGCGTTAACAACACTCCTCTTGTACCTGTCTGGGCAGTCGCTGTTGGCATTTAGGCACATTCCTATGTTTGTTTCCTTAGTGTAGACTGCAGTGTGGAAACCTCCGCCCTTTTCCATGACTGTTACATCTAGAAAGGGCAGCTTCCCATCCTTTTCCATCTCGTAAGTGAAACGCAGCACGGAACTCTGCTCAAATGCCTCCTTCAGCTCCTGCAGATGTCTGACATCAGGTACCTGTGTAAAAATGTCGTCAACATACCTGCAGTATATGGCCGGTTTCAAGTTCATGTCGACTAAGACTTTTTGCTCGATGGTACCCATGTAGAAGTTTGCAAACAAGACACCTAGGGGAGAACCCATGGCGACCCCATCTACTTGCTTATACATGTGCCCATCCGGGCTCAAGAAGGGTGCCTCTTTAGTACAAGCTTGGAGTAGTTTCCTCAGAATATTTTCTGGTATGTCAAGAGGAGTACAGGCTGGATCACGATACACTCTGTCGGCTATCATTCCGATTGTCTCGTCCACAGGTACGTTGGTAAACAGCGATTCTACGTCCAACGAGGCTCTTATCCCTGTGGCCCGTGTGCCCCGCAGTAAGTCAACAAATTCCTTTGGAGACTTCAGGCTGAAGGCGCAAGGAACATAAGGAGTCAGCAGGCCGTTGAGTCGCTTCGCCAGTCTGTACGTGGGTGTGGGTATCTGGCTAATGATTGGCCGAAGTGGGTTTCCAGGCTTGTGTGTCTTGACATTTCCATACGCATATCCAGGTTTATATTCCCCAATGATCTTTGGCAGGTGGAGTCCGGATTTCTTGGCGTTCACAGTTTCGATCAGTTTGTTGACCTTTGCTTTTAATTCGGCTGTAGTGTCCTTCGTTACCCTTTGGAACTTAGTTTGGTCAGAGAGTATGATGTTCATTTTCGCCAGATATTCGTCTTTTTTAAGAATGACATATATTGGCGACTTGTCACCTCTCCTGACAACTATCTCCTTGTTCTCACGAAGGCTTTTAGCTGCCGCTTTAAGCTCGGGGGACAGTATGGTGCTTCTGTAGTTGCCTCGATTCTTTCCTCCTTCTGCAATAAGTTCTGCTTGTAAGGTATCTTTGGTAGTGACCTTCTTTTGTGTCTCGAGGTCGAATATGTCGTCCAACAGAATTTCCAACTCTACTTTCCGGGCCATCTCACTCGGTCTGGACATAACATGACAGTTTATGCCCAGATTTAGGAGAGTGACTTGGTCCTCAGTGAGGTTAATTCCTGCAAGGTTCAGGAAGCCATCTCTTGGTCGTGGAATTGCCATAGGTCCTCCATATAATGTTGTTAGTTTCTTGATAATCCTTGTTTCAGTGCTGAGGTGATGTCGGTCTGTGAGGATGTCGAGGTGTTGTTCAATGCGGGTACGGATACTATGGTCGATGTTGCTATTTCTCCACTCGTTTGTAGCATGAAGTAGTTGCGTTTTGTTGTCTTTGATTTCATTCTCTGCCTTGTATATCTGATCACGAATCAGATCCTGGCGATATTTTATCGTGAAGGCTTGATTCCTTGCTGCTGGGTCGTGCGCTTTAATATTAGTATATTTTTATTAATACTCTTGTTCTGTCTTGTGTTGATGAAATTAATACCCTATTAATGCCACATCTTGTTCTGTCTTGTGTTAATGCCACATCACCCCTTCCACCTCACTCAAATGTAGATATAAAATCGGAGATGCGTAAGTTCTATTCAGTTGTGTATTTGTGAACTAAAGTCTTTGAAAATGTAATAAGTTTTACGAAACGCGCTCGTGTCGCGTCAGACTAGAAATAAAAATGAATTTTGGAGAATTGATTTTTGATTTACCTCCAACAGTGAAAAGAAGTGTACGAAAGATTGAGAAAATTCGTGTTAGAATTATTAATCTTACTTTTTCGGTCATATTTAATAATAATATATATATATATATATATATATATATATATATATATATATATATATATATATATATATGTCGTACCTAGTAGCCAGAACGCACTTCTCAGCCAACTATGCAAGGCCCGATTTGCCTAATAAGCCAAGTTTTCATGAATTAATTGTTTTTCGACTACCTAACCTACCTAACCTAACCTAACCTAACTTTTTCGGCTACCTAACCTAACCTAACCTATAAAGATAAGTTAGGTTAGGTTAGGTAGGGTTGGTTAGGTTCGGTCATATAACTACGTTAATTTTAACTCCAATAAAAAAAATTGACCTCATACATAATGAAATGGATAGCTTTATCATTTCATAAGAAAAAAATTAGAGAAAATATACTAATTCAGGAAAACTTGGCTTATTAGGCAAATCGGGCCTTGCATAGTAGGCCAAGAAGTGCGTTCTGGCTACTAGGTACGACATATATATATATATATATATATATATATATATATATATATATATATATATATATATATATATATATATATATATATATATATATATATATATTAGTTTACTTACACACAGTATTAGTATACATAAAGTACGTTGGTTACGTATGTATAAATTTGTTAATACATACAGATGGATTAATTATGTATACATGGGTTAGTTTAGCAATATACACATGGATTAGTTTAGCAATGTAGACATGGATTAGTTTAATTATGTACAACACTTACTAGGAACATGCTAGTAGACAATACAACCATCCAGGCATCCACCCCTGACCAACGAAGACTGCAAATTCTGTAAGTTTCCCTCATGAGAGAAGAACGACCCAACCTCAATATAGAGAGAGAATAAGGAGTTGGCTACCTTGCCTACGCTTAGACCCAGACCTCGCCAATCACCACCCGTTAACGACGCCATCTCTGGCGACCAGTTCCCCTCGCCAACCGCTTTACCCAATGTTTCTGTAGCTTCCTTACTCATTATTTCCCTATTCTTTAACTTGACGTCGAGTGTCTATGTTTCTACATCCCATCACCTCGCCCGACACAACCTCACTTTTCCACATGTATATTTAACCCAAAAATTGCACTTCGTGTATTCATTGTTTACCTGAAGATGTTCCAGAGTAAAACAAAACGCTGTTGAAAAAAATCCTTCAATAATTACTACTTTCTTTACTATGAATTTTGTTAACTAATTTGCTCTTGTTAATGCCGACAGTAAGAAAATAGTTAGTTGCATAGGAAGCATATACTGTGAGATCACCAGCGTCAGCAATGTGGTCATATTACCAGTCTCCGTGGTGCAGTGGTAAGACACTCGTCTGGCCTTCCGCGAGCGCTTTGTCATGGGTTCGTATCCTGGCCGGGAAGGATTTACTGGGCACAAATCCTTAACTGTAGCCTCTGTTTAACTCAACAGTAAAATGTGTACTTGGTTGTAACAACGATTCTTCGCGGCGGGGATCGTATTCCAGGGACCTGCCCGAAACGCTACGCGTACTAGTGGCTGTACAAGACTGTAACAACTCTTGTATATATATCTCAAAAAAATATATATATTTATCAAAATATGCTTAAAGGAACGCTTGCTGCCCAAGCGTAGTATCATGTCATCAATTCTTGAAATCAAATTAACACACTCAGTTCTAAATGGGACCGACTAAAGAGCCTAAATCATCCCTTGAATTAACACGTGGAAAATAATTGAGGGGCTGGTCCCAAACCTGCACACAGAAATAACACCACATGAGACCAGAAGACATGGTAGGATGTGCAGAATACCCCCGTTGAAAAGCAGAGGTGCAACAGGTACTCTGAGAGAGAACTATCAACATCAGAGGCCCGAGACTGTTCAACACGCTTCCACTACACATAAGGGGCATAACTGGCAAACCCCTCACAGTGTTCAAGAGAGAACTGGATAAGCACCTCCAAAGGATACCTGATCAACCAGGCTGTGACTCATACGTCAGGCTGCGAGCAGCCGCGTCTAACAGCCTGGTTGATCAGTCCAGCAACCAGGAGGCCTGGTCGACGACCGGGCCGCGGGGACACTAAGCCCCGGAAGCACCTCAAGGTAGCCTCAAGGTAGGTAACCTGGGCACTAGGAGACTCGAATTACCCTACGACAGAAGAGCTTCTGCCTTCCACCCAGGGAGTCGGGGGCTAGAGTCTCCTAGTGCCCGAGTGAATGAGATATATATTGTATGTTGAAAACTCTTGATTAAGGTAACTGTGAGTGTGGATGTTCTTACTGGTTAATGCTGGCTGGTCTTTATCTCTGGTTTTGGTAATGAAGCTGTTGTTTACCTCTTTAAGAACACATACTAACGCTGTTTGAAGCGTTAGTGACTATATTGAGTGTGTGTTGAGCTGTGCCTTACCTGAGGAAGGTGCTTGGTGTGTTGCAGTGATGGTGACGACGTGCGGGGCCACCGGGCACGACGGACCCTCCCCCGAGGACTGTCAGAAGGAGTACCAGGACCGGCCGCACCCGAAGCCCTCCTTCCCCTCCTCCGGCTCCCTCCCTGGCACACAGACCTGGACGGTGCCCAACGATGGCTATTATACGTAAGTACTAACTCCTGTGACGGTTGGCTGTGATGGATGACGCCGCCGCCCTCACCCACATGAGGAGTGGGTGAGGGCGGGCGGGGGCTCCTACCATGCTCTGGACGGACGTGAGATGGGTTACATCCTAGCACATTGTGGGTGGGGTGGGGAGTGCCTAGCCCGCTCTCAACGGCCGGGGGTGAGGGGATAGGTTGGCCTCGTGGACACACAACATTCTATAACGTGCCGTTATCACTGCTAATAGTGCAGCCATGTGTATTTTAATGTCCTGATAACAGTCAAGTGACCCGTCGTGTGATTAGTGTATATATATACACATTTATATAAGAGAGAGAATGCCTCTCTGTCCATGGTTGGAGGCCAGACTCAAGGGGCTAGCCTCAACCATCTTTGCACAGTGATCAATGTAGGGTACGTGACCAACATGGGTAGATCGGGGTCGACCCATTGCGCGTATTAAAGGGACGATCATCTATAGTAACCCCTACGAAATCATCAGAAGGTGGTTGGCCGAGTCTCTAATATTCCTTTTCCTTTATGCCAGAATGTAAAATGAATCATAATTATAGAGGAGGGACCGTTGTAAGCGGGTCGGTGGTGATCCCCGTGGTGGAGGCTTCACCCCCCCCCCCCGGGTCCAGCCTCGTACAGGGTGTCCCAACTAATATGTGTATGTATGCATGTATGTATTACATATGCATTCTTGTTTCACCTTCTTTCGGGGTTATTCGTTTTCACATCATTTTTCACGTCTTACTTTCTTAGTGATTTACACACACACACACACACACACACACACACACACACACACACACACACACACACACACACACACACACACACACACACACTATCACGGCCAGCTTGGGCCAGTAACCGGGTTCTTTCTATTAACGTGTCCTATAAGTTCTTCTTGATCCTACCCCAAGTTGATGATAAGTTTTCAAGAACTGGCTGTGGCAAGTAAAGAATAAAGGAGGGTGGATAACAATACACAATTACACCTTCACCAATATATATATTTTATCTCTAAGTATTACTACACATATTTACACTGTGTTGCTTTCACTCAGGACACTCAATAGATCCGCAGTGTTCGTCAAATCCCAGCAAGTCCAATACGTCCAGGTACACGTCGTCCACAGTTAATGGTAATCACCGGTGAGTTCACCTTCCTCAACATGGGCGAGTCCACACCCCGTATAGTCACGGTGTTCCAACACCCAACATTCGCTCTCCTGATTCACACTGGCAGAGGGCCTCAGCCACAAGCTGACAGGGGTCTCAAGTAACCACATACAGAGGTAGCTAACACCCTGGCAGAAGTCTCTAGCAACTCGCTAGCAGCACTTCTCATCAGACGCACTACTGTCGTCGCGTAACTCTTCCTGACCAATCCCGGGTACGTCGGTCCATACAACACTGCACAAACCAGCAGCTAACACACTGCTGCTACCGACGACGGCCACTTTGTCCTCTCACAGGACCAAGTCAAGAGTTCAGGACTGCCCAAGAGGTATGCCCTCCTTATCGCAATCACCTCCTTACGTCACCTCTGTGAACATAAGACGTCATTAGCTAGACAGGAGCCTTGTGGACGTAGGATAACACCCTTCCACCGGGGAATTGAAATTGTAAATGCTTTCACAACCTAGATAGCGTTGATATCATTACACCACCCACCAGAGGTCATCACCTTTTAACTGAGGTATCAAACAGGAGCTTTTCACCAACGCCACGCCACCGTCAACAGATGGCGTTGTCCGCATCGCACCCAATACCTGGTAGTTGGAGTGCAGATCTGTAGATGGCGCCGAAATCGCCACTCCCCACTCCGACAACGGTGTCGATACCGTAACACGCACACACGTGCACACACACACCCTGTATCCCTGTACCTGGGTGATGGTACAGCACCATCCCTGTTGTACAGGGGTGGTGCTGTACAGGGGGGTGGTGCTGTACAGGGGGGTGGTGCTGTACAGGGGGGTGGTGCTGTACAGGGGGGTGGTGCTGTACAGGGGGGTGGTGCTGTACAGGGGTGGTGCTGTACAGGGGTAGTTGCTGTACAGGGGTGGTGTTGTACAGGGGTAGTTGCTGTACAGGGGTGGTGTTGTACAGGGGTAGTTGCTGTACAGGGGTGGTGCTGTACAGGGCTGGGACTGTACAGGGGTGGTGCTGTACAGGGGTGGTGCTGTACAGGGGTAGTTGCTGTACAGGGGTGGTGCTGTACAGGGGTGTGCTGTACAGGGGTAGTTGCTGTACAGGGGTGGTGCTGTACAGGGGTAGTTGCTGTACAGGGGTGGTGTTGTACAGGGGTAGTTGCTGTACAGGGGTGGTGCTGTACAGGGGTGGGACTGTACAGGGGTGGTGCTGTACAGGGGTGGTGCTGTACAGGGGTGGTGCTGTACAGGGGTAGTTGCTGTACAGGGGTGTGCTGTACAGGGGTAGTTGCTGTACAGGGGTGGGACTGTACAGGGGTGGTGCTGTACAGGGGTGGTGCTGTTCAGGGGTGGTGCTGTACAGGGGTGGTGCTGTACAGGGGTGGTGCTGTACAGGGGTGGGACTGTACAGGGGTGGTGCTGTACAGGGGTGGGACTGTACAGGGGTGGTGCTGTACAGGGGTAGTTGCTGTACAGGGGTGGTGCTGTACAGGGGTGGTGCTGTACAGGGGTGGTGCTGTACAGGGGTGGGACTGTACAGGGGTGGTGCTGTACAGGGGTGGGACTGTACAGGGGTGGTGCTGTACAGGGGTGGGACTGTACAGGGGTGGTGCTGTACAGGGGTGGGTGCTGTACAGGGGTGGGACTGTACAGGGGTGGGACTGTACAGGGGTGGTGCTGTACAGGGGTGGGTGCTGTACAGGGGTGGGACTGTACAGGGGTGGTGCTGTACAGGGGTGGGACTGTACAGGGGTGGGACTGTGTCTGAAAATATTATCGCCAGAAGAAAAAAATTACATCGCAGCAATTAAAACTTCGACTCTGTTTTGTAATTAATTACAAAACTTGTTTATAGTTTGTGTAAATTACAGGAGGTGGCTGTTGGGGGGGGGAGTGTTCACTGTCCTCACTGCTCCACACTGAAGGGAACGAGGCAGTTCACCTGCTGTTCCCATTCTCTGTTCGAATTTTATCGTACTTGTATTTTGACTGGAATATAGAAAAGAAGAACTTATGGCTAATTGTGTTGGCTTCTATAGTACTGGGTGAAGGTGACACCGTCCCTGGCGGACAGTGAAGGTGTCACCGTCCCTGGCAGACTGTGAAGGTGACACCGTCCCTGGCAGACTGTGCAGGTGTCACCTTCCCTGGCAGACTGTGAAGGTGTCATCTTCCCTGGCAGACTGTGAAGGTGTCACCGTCCCTGGCAGACTGTGAAGGTGTCACCGTCCCTGGCAGACTGTAAAGGTGACACCTTCCCTGGCAGACTGTGAAGGTGTCACCGTCCCTGGCAGACTGTGAAGGTGACACCGTCCCTGGCAGACTGTAAAGGTGACACCTTCCCTGGCAGACTGTGAAGGTGTCACCGTCCCTGGCAGACTGTGAAGGTGACACCGTCCCTGGGGACCTTCCTGCCCCCCCCTCCCAGGGAAGGTCATGGGGGGCGGCGGCCCACCGGTTGCACCACATGTGACCCACAACGTTACAATTACGGTGTTTTAGTGGACTCAATAACACGGTGATGTTGATGTCCAGTCGACCTCTTCAGTACCAGCCTGGGTCAGTTGATGTTACGAGGAGCAGTGTGCGGGTTGGTCAACCTCTGGTGGGTTATTATGGTCTATCAACCTCTGGTGGGTTATTGAGGTCTATCAACCTCTGGTGGGTTATTGAGGTCTATCAACCTCTGGGGGGTTATTAAGGTCTATCAACCTCTGGGGGGTTATTGAGGTCTATCAACCTCTGGGGGGTTATTGAGGTCTATCAACCTCTGGAGGGTTATTGAGGTCTATCAACCTCTGGTGGGTTATTGAGGTCTATCAACCTCTGGAGGGTTATTGAGGTCTATCAACCTCTGGTGCGTTATTGAGGTCTATCAACCTCTGGTGAGTTATTGAGGCCTATCAACCTCTGGTGAGTTATCAAGGCCTATCAACCTCTGGAGGGTTATCAAGGCCTATCAACCTCTGGTGGGTTACCAAGACCTATCAACCTCTGGGGGGTTATCAAGACATATCAACCTCTGGAGGGTTATCAAGACCTATCAACCTCTGGAGGGTTACCAAGACCTATCAACCTCTGGAGGGTTATCAAGACCTATCAACCTCTGGAGGGGTTATCAAGACCTACCAACCTCTGGAGGGTTATCAAGACCTACCAACCTCTGGAGGGTTATCAAGACCTATCAACCTCTGAAGGGTTATCAAGACCTACCAACCTCTGGAAAGTTATCAAGACCTACCAACCTCTGGAGGGTTATCAAGACCTACCAACCTCTGGAGGGTTATCAAGACCTACCAACCTCTGGAGGGTTATCAAGACCTATCAACCTCTGAAGGGTTATCAAGACCTACCAACCTCTGGAGGGTTATGAAGACCTACCAACCTCTGGAGGGTTATCAAGACCTATCAACCTCTGGAGGGTTATCAAGACCTATCAACCTCTGAAGGGTTATCAAGACCTATCAACCTCTGGAGGGTTACCAAGACCTATCAACCTCTGGGGGGTTATCAAGACCTACCAACCTCTGGAGGGTTATCAAGGCCTATCATCCTCTGGAGGGTTATTGAGGTCTATCAACCTCTGGAGGGTTATCAAGACCTATCAACCTCTGGAGGATTATCAAGACCAATCAGCCTTTGAAGGTTATCAAGACCTACCAACCTCTGGAGGGTTATCAAGACCTATCAACCTCTGGAGGGGTTATCAAGACCTACCAACCTCTGGAGGGTTATCAAGACCTACCAACCTCTGGAGGGTTATCAAGACCTACCAACCTCTGGAGGGTTATCAAGACCTACCAACCTCTGGAGGGTTATCAAGACCTAC